AGGGTTTAGGGCTTAGGGTTTAGGGATGAAGAAACCTTGGGTCTTGATCAGCGTTCTTTGTATGGATTCTTAATTAACCATGTTCCAACATTACACCCCTAACCAAGAAAGCAACCACCTAAAGCACCAGAAACCATTAGAACCCTGTCCACCCTCACCTATAGAACCCTTCAGCTCCTTCGGAGGTTTTATAGAACTCTTATACACCCTTTAAAAAGGAACCCTTCCACAACTCTCACAGACCCTCGCAAAAGAACCCCATAAACCCCGAATCTAAACCCGAACCCCTAAGTGGCCCAAAATCCTAAACCCTGGACCCTAAACCCTAAGCTTTAATACCCTAAACCCTAAACCCTAAACCGACCCCATTGAAAGGAGCCCCAGAGCACGGATGCTGCGCCTTTTGGGCGATCCCGTCCTTGGCTGAAGGGGGCTTGGAGCATGATGCTTTGGGGTTTAGGGTTTCGGGCTTTAGGTTGTAGGGCTTTAGGGTTTGGGGTTTCGGGCTTTAGGGTTTAGGGTTTCGGGATTTAGGGTTTAGGGTGTAGGGTTTAGAGCCGTTTAAGATTTAGGGTTTAGGGTTTTAGAAATTCTGTGGGGTTTCGGTCCGGTGTTTTTGACGGAAAGTTTGGGCTGGGCTGGGCTGGGCCTGGGTTCTGCTCTGCCTGCCACGTAATATATGAAGGTTCGGTTCTCGGGTTTAGGGTTTTGCCTACATGATCAGAACAGGGCTGTGTGGGTACATTATAAGTTTTAGGGCTTAGGGTTTAGGGTTTAGGGTTTAGGTTTTAGGGCTTACGGTTTAGGGTTTTGGGTACATTATTGCGATGTGTTTGCCCCAAGATCCTAGATGTAGGTTTAAACGACTCTGCAGGCTCTTGGTACCTAAAACGATTTGCTGAATTTTTTTATGTGTTCAACCCAAAAACCCTAAAACCCCAAACCCTAAACCCTAGGATGCAGGGAATCCCTATAACTTCAGAGCTCATGGTTCCTTATACAGCAGAACCCGGGTCCAATTATTGAGGCCTTTCAGGGTTTAGGGTTTAGGTTTTAGGTTTTAGGGTTTAGGGTTTAGGTTTTAGGGTTTAGGTTTTAGGGTTTAGGGTTTAGGGTCTATCGTATAGACTTCAAACCCCTACAAACCCCCATAATGCTGCCACACGTACAACCTGTAACCTTGATAGAAGCCTCCTCAAAAATCCTACTCCAGCTTATTCAAGCCCCCTAAAACCCGATATGCCTTCAAGAAATCCCTAAGCCCCTAAACCCTACACCCTAAACCGTAAACCCCTTAACCCGAAACGCTAAACCTTGAAACCCTACTCCCCAAACCCCTAAGCCCCTATCTAAACCAAACCCACTGCCCCCACTCAGCAACAGTTGGGGGGAATCTTCATAATATGGATATAAGGCCCTTCATGCTGCTGATGATATAAATCCTGCATTACCATAAGGACCCTAAACTATCGAAGTATGGTCTATTCCTTATTATGGGTAATGCAGGATTTATATCATCAACCGTAGTAGCCCTATTTTAGACTCTTACTGTATTGGGGGGGGGGGGGCAGTGCCCAACCCAAAACCCTCAAGCCCTAAACCCTACACCCTAAACCGAAAACCCCTTAATCCGAAACCCTAAAGCCTAAAATCCTACTCCCCAAACCCCTACGCCCCTACCTAAACCAAACCCAAAACCCTCAGGCCGGCTCTTCCTGCGCCCGAGCATCGATGTTGAGCGCGCGAAACCCAGGGTAGCAGGCCCGGACGGCGTCGCCGACTGCTTTGGCAAAGCGACCTTGGGAGCTCTTTGAGTTGAACGCAGCTTGTAACCCTTACTTAAACCATAAAACAAATGTATAGGATATGCTTTAACAATCAGTTCTGATATATCATACCATAAGAATATATCATTAAGCCAAAGCACCCTATCATCACATTAGGCTAGTAACCCTACTTCCATCCTCAAACTCAACGTGCGCTTTTGTGGAGATCTGCGCCCTTAAAGGGAATCCTTGGGACTCCTGTTAAAGGGATCCTTAAGAGCCCTTATAGGAATGAGTACCCTAGCCCGAACAAAACGGCTAACCTTATCAATTCTGGTAGGAGTATATAAACCCCAACAGGTTAAAGGTTACATACTCAGCTGTTAAGTGCCAATGGGGATGCTGCCAGGATTGGGTCCCATCTTGCTGATGCTTGGGTGGCGATGATGAGTATGAGAGTGAGGTCATCGTCGTCCTAGAAGCACTAGTGGCACCAAAATAGCATCAGCTGTAGCGCTCGAACAAGTGCTTGTCGCTCCCTGCAGTTATCTCGGTGGTTTGGTTTATCGCGTCTGCACTGCTTCTCTCACTGTCAGTGCTTCTTTTCTAGTTTGCATCACATATGCAGCCCGCGTGGTATGGATCTGTTTACAACGAAGCGTGTTCCCGATGGCCTCTCCTTACAAAAGATCTATTTAAAACACCCGCGACATGGGCGTGATTTGTGGTATTTCCCTTCATCCTAAGCCTAAACCCCTCTATAACTTATACCCCTAAACCCTGAAGCCTAATCCTGGTCCTAATCCTCAACCCTAAACCCCTCTGCAAGCCCAAAAAACAGATGGCCCAAGCCGCAGTCGAAGACCCTAAGGAACCCCTGACAAAAGAGACTAGGGTGGTTTTGGGTTTGAGGATTCAGTGCTTCGGTGCTGGGTGGGGGGAGTGGTATCATTGAAGGAAACTACAGGGGGGGAGTTTAGGGTATATAGGGCTTCTATAAGGCTCCTATAAGGTATATAGACCTTCTATAAGACTGCTATAACGGTAACTGCCCACCTGGAAATGTCCTCGAGGTATCCTTGATGATTCAAGCCTTCAGGTTACACCCTGAACCCTGGAGACCCACGGCTCTGATAGAATCATATAGAATCATAGAAATAGAACCGGGGTTCCTTAAAGGTATCTATGACGGTTTCTGTAGGGTTTCGATAAGGGTACTACAAGGGTTCTAGCTGTGTAGTTCTCTAAACTAGGGTCCCTTTCGCGGTCCCTTTTTCTAAGGGTGCCGTACTTTCTTGGAGGACCTAAAACGGGACATCAATCTAGAGAACTATCCATATAGAAACATAGAACACTTGTAGACCCACATGTCCCTAAACCCTACACTTAAAACCCTGGCTCGAACCCCAAACTCGAATATCAACTTGCTGCCAGAGCTGCTCCGCCCGCTCTGTGAGATCAGCTCCCCGGTGCCCCTGTTTTGGATACTTCAGATGCTGCCCAAAAAAATGGCCTTACATGGCCGTGTAGGATTTATACGTTTTGGCTTGGGGGTCTAGAGATTTGTGATGTTGGAAGCTAGGGAACAGTTTTTTGGCACGACTGTGCTTCGATGTCCTTCATATCCTTCCCTGACCGTCATGATTGCCCTAAGGCCACAGCATGCCTGTACAGCCCAGGGTTTAGGGCTTGCAGGAACCCCAAAACCCTAAACCCTAAACCCCTAAACCCTAAACCCCTAAACCCCTAAACGCTAAACCCATGGCGCGGGATCCAGGAGTAGGGCTCAGAGTCACGTGCTTAGGGCCTTGGGGGTTTGGGGAGCCTGCGGTCGGATAAAGCTTGATCCAAAACGGTTTAGGGTTTAGGGTTTAGGGTTTAGGGTTTAGCTCGAGACCCGGTGATACGAACCCCTGGCCACAACCAGAGCCCAACACCCCTCAAGTAAGGGTTCCTTAAAGGGATCTATAAGGGTTTAGGGTTTAGGGATTACGGGAATTAAGGAATGTATCCCTTAAATCAAAACATTCAGGCCCCGATAATTGGGGTATAGTACTTAATTAAGGGGTATTGGGTTCTTTGAGCAACCTAATGAACATCCCCAGGCCCTAAACCCTACACCCCCAAGCCCGGCAGCACTTTGCCCAACCACCGGTGACCGAACCCCGAGGGCGAAACATCCGATGCTGGAGTGGGAGTTAGGATCAGGGGGACCCCCTTGGGGATATAGACCCTCTCAATAAGGTCCCGTTTAAGAGAGCCACAAGTAGGGTTCAGAAGGGTCCCCTTTAAGGGGTCTACCGGATACTACCTTAGGATGGAGTGCTGGCAAAGGCTCCACAACGTCCGCAGGGAGGTGCCAATCACTTTCACCATACCTCAATGCTCCAACGCTCGGGGAAATCGAGTGAGTTGCCGAGTTCACAAGCCCAGACAAGTGTCGACTCTTCAGTTCTTTACCGGAGAATGGTATCAAAAAAAGACTCACCCGGCCACCTAAACCCTAAACCCTGAATCCCAGACACTCACACACTAGGTGGTCTTTAGATCGGAGGCAGGTTCTGAGCTTCAGAATTCGGACGGTGGCGGACTCCGGGTTTTGGGGATTCAAATGCCAAGGGTTTCCGAAAATAGGGGACCCCAATATAGTGCCCCAAAGAGTCGGATCCTTATATATAAGGACCCCAATCTAAGGTAATTACCCTTTTTTTGGGAACCTCCCCAGTCCTAAATCCAAACCGCGACGCATCCCCAAAGAAAACCCAAAGGTAAATCCCCTAGAGCCACAAGATCGCTCAGGGTGTATTGGCTTCTACCCAGGGAGCCCAATACCCCTTAATTAGAGCTTCGCACCTCCTTTTGACTCCGTGCATCGAGGGTTTCCATTGGCTCTCCAGCCGGAANNTTTCAGAGAACCTGCAGGTCTTTCCCCTTCGGCAGCAAAGGGTGGGAGGGAAGGGCTGCTTCGAAACTTGAGCAACACGTCATCGTATACGGCACTCAGCTCTATTGTCAGAGCTTCGCACCTCCTTTTGACTCCGTGCATCGAAGGTTTCCATTGGCTCTCCAGCCGGAATTTCTGCAACCCTACAGGGTGCAGCCTGGGTATACGCATCCAGGGCTTCAGCTTTCAGAGAACCTGCAGGTCTTTCCCATTCGTCCCACACCAAAAAAGCCAATGCATGGCCGCTAGCCGGCAGAGAAGAGAGCGTACCAGGAGGTAGGCGGGACCTGTTACCTTTTCCACTGTGCTGCCTGTTCCAAGGTTGCTGTAAAAGCTTGTGCCAGCAGAAGTACTCGTTGCCGCGTCACCAAGGGCAGGGAAGGAAAAAACGTACAAGCCGTCACCTCCTGGATATATATCTCCATCACACGATGGGAGGCCCATCTTCCACGTCTCCTGACCAGCTCGCTGTTCTCAGTCAGGGAGAGCAAGTGAGTTGCTCCCCCTGGCCTGAAAGAACCCAGGTCCAGGGGCCGATGCTTCCCTCGCGTAGTGCTAATCCCCAAGCGCTCGAGGATCAAGTCAAAACGCCTCCGGAGGGTTTGCGAACTAAGGGGCCAAAGCTTCTCGTGAGGCTCCAAGTCTGCAAAGGAAAGGGCCACCAGCTGTACCAGGTCCATCTGCTCCACGCGTGCCGCCTGGTGGCGGGCCATCCTCATCCTCGTTTTAGGCTCCTCGATCCTTGCCAGAATGTGCCCTTGAGAAAAGAGCACATCTTGGGGAAGGACCAAATTCCTTCGCAACATGGCTGTTGCCTCCCCAATCCTCAGCAATCCTCCCCAAGCCAACGAAAAGAGACCAGCTTCTCGAAGCCAACCCCAATGTAAGCAAACCGTGAGCATGCTTAAAAGGATTACAGCAGGCATAGCCACATGATGCGTCGTCGGCTCCAGGGCCATCCAAGAAAAAGCCAGGTCCCATGCAGCCTGAAGGGTCCTTTTAAGGATGGGCTTGCGAGCGGCGAGCCCATTGATAGTCTCAGCGTAGTGCCAGTAAGGGCGGCCGCTCTCAAAGAGCTGCCTCCCATAGCTAACAACCCACATGTTGACAACTTCGGCATCTGCCTTCTTGCTGTCGAGGAGATCTTCAAGGGTGGTGCCGCACTCAACCAACCATGCACCAAAAAGAGCAAGTAGGGAGGCCCGGTTCTTTGAAGTGCACTCCAAGACCGGTCTCCCTTCAGCAAGCTGGGCCCCTTCACGTGCCCTGGCCCGAGTCCTGTCCTTTGCGTCGCGTGGCAGGAGAAACGGACCAGGAGTCGAAGGGGCTGGCGGGCCTTCTCCTGGGTAACCCTTTGTACTGTCAAAACCCTGGGGCCTAGGAGGTTCAAGCACACTGGTGCCATCCAGGGCGGCAGGCAAAAACACGTCTCTAAACCTTGGGGTTAGGGCCTTAAGGAGGGAGGAGCCGTCGGAGCCGTCGTGAGGAAGTGCAAGAAGCAGCGCGAGGGGGAACCAATTCGAGGAGGACTTGGAGAGGCCTTGCAAGGCAGAGAGGCCATAGGGATCCTGCTTGAAGATGGGCAGGAGGGAGCGAGGCACTGGCACAGGGAGGGAGCGATCCCTGGTCGGGGCATCCGAAACGTTGAGGCGAGTAGGGCAGAAGACCGGGCCGGGGTAAAGTCCAAAGGCCACTTGCAGTGCAGCAGCCCGCTTCACGGCAGGCAGAAGCATGCGGCTGCTAGTCCTTCCTTTCAGGAAAGCCCCGAGGGCAACGTGGGAGTCCAACCCATGGACAAACCGTTGGTCGTCGCAGGAAAGGGCTCGGAGCCTCAGGGCTCGGAGGAAGGCCCGAGCCTCAAGCACATTAATGTGGGCCTTGTCGCGCCAGGCCCAGGCGGAGTCAGTCTGCCAGGCATTTGCCACCATCACATCGTTCAGGAGGAGGCCTTCAAGTCCAGAGGCAGGGGGGGCCGGAGGCCCAGGAGCAGACAACACCTCAGCAAAGCACTGTGAAAAGAGCTTAGCCGAGACTCGGAGGCCTCTCTGCTGAAGCGCGGCAAACGGAGAAGTGGAGCCACAGGCAGCCGGGGAAGCCAGGGCAACGACGACACCCAAGCCCGAAGAGAAAAGGTCACAGCCCCCCTAGAAAAACTCCTGATAGCCTCGCTGCAGCACAACACCTTGCCATCGAGGGAGGACCCTAGCCTTCGAAAGAGCCGGGTGCAGCAAAAGGGCTGGAATTCCACAGCGACCTGCCACAACCATGATGGCCAAAGCGGCCCCACACACCTTTGCAGCCTTACCTTCAAGCGGCCTCCTAGAGGCGGGTGAGCACGGGCCCACCGGTGGAGCAACAAGCACTGACCGCAAGCGACGGGTCTGCAACAAGCAAAGTATCCACTCCAGACAGCGCGGGTCCGACAACTGGAAGAAGGGCGAGGGCCTTGCGTTGATGACTGGCCCCACAGCAAACCTGACAGACAACAGAGGGGAAAGCCAAGGGCCGCCCGTATGCACCTCTAGGAAGTCAAAGTTGTTTGCAAGGGGCCTGCTCGGAGAGGCCGGCGGGGGTTCACAGCCTGAGCCATCACACTCCTCATCGTCACTGTCGTTTTCAAGGGCCGGGCTGCCCGCTAGTCTGGTGTACCAACCTTTCTGGCCGGCTGTCTGCCAAAGGTGAGCGGCCACGTCTAAGTCCACCGTGGTGCTGCAAACCGCGCCCTTTTCAAGAGAGGCGTCTGAGCACGAAACCAGGAGCAGCCACGTTAGACACCAAGGCAGGGGCCAGCACCGAAAGAAGAACCAAGTCTTGACGAGCTGCAGGAGGCAAGGGCCGCAGGGAAGAGCCACCAAGCTGGGACACACGTTTGCCCAGCCCAAAGAGAGGCCCAATGGCTGCCATGAGGCACCTTCGGTAGAGCAGAGCGGTAACCCAACTGCCTGCGAGGATCGAGGCCAGCTCCTCACTAATGTAGCGGTCAGCTGCCACAGTAAGCGAAGCGTGGGCTAAGGCGAGCCGGCGGTGAGCAGGAAGCCCCACTAGCACTTGCCCAGCAGACACAGTAGGCGGGCTTGCGTCGATCTGTGCGCCGGCTGCACAAAACACCCTCTGGCTGAACTGGTCCTTGGCGTCAGAGCCGACGACCCCCTCGGCAGCATAGGCAACCTTGGCCTGCTTCAGCAAGCGCTCGCTGGCGGCGACCTGTGGCCCCCTGCCGTCTAAACGCAACTGCAGAAAAGAAAGGACCTCAGCAGCTGAAGCCCTTTTCGCCCAGGCTGGAGCTCAGAGCCACCAAGTCGGGCGCACGCTCTCACAAGCTCTCTAAGGCGGTTCAAGGCGGAAGCCTGAGCAGCCGAAGGGGGCCTCTGCAAACACTCAGCAGGCACGGGCCTCCCCCCTGAGTGAAGGAAGTTGAGCCCCAGCACCAGCATAGACAAGACCACGCCCACGTGTTGTGCCAAAGTGCGTCGTCGCTTGCAGGTCCGACCGAGTGCCAAGTGGGAGGGCAACGGCAGCGGGAAAAGAGCGGTAGCGACAGGCAGGGAGCTGTCGCGGCACAGAGTCAAAGCTGAACTCACAAAGTGACCAAAACAGGTTCCAGAATTAAGAACCCGACGTACCAAAGAGGAGGCCCAAAGCCTAAAACTAAATTCCTTCCCCGGCTGAAGATCGGAGCCCTCAACAGGGTGGCTGGCATGCAAAGGCGGCCACTTGCAGTCGGCCTTCTTTTTCAGGACCCCTTTCCAGCAGCGGCCCGCTTGGCCGCCCAAGCCGCTGCACGTGCCTGCTTTTTCGACAAGGCGGCCTCGCCCTCTGCTGTCAGTTTCGGTGGGGGAGGCGTTGTCGTCAGAGACGGGGCCGAGGGAGGGCTTTTTGGGATTTGCGAGTTCGCCCCTGCGGCTGCTGATGGCCTCTATCTCCTTGAGGAAGGACAGGCCGATCGTGATCCACCTCTGGTCGGCAAGCTGGGAGAAGGCCCTTGCTGTGGGAGCCACCGGGCCGTGTCCTGGTACAAAGCGCTGGGGGATCCGCCTGCAGCGACAGGATCCAGGCGAAGGACATGTCCCCTCCATCGAGGTTTGCCTGATCTATGGTCAGCAGCATCAACGCCAAAAGGTCTGCTGCAGTCTCTGCCGACCCTTGTGCCAAGTGTGTGGCCTGCTCGCCCTCGGTCAGGCCTGTGGGGTTCATCCTCAGAGCAGCGTTCTGCCGGATGCGTCGGGCCATTGCACCCGGTGAGCTCAACAGCTCCTGCTGCAACTTCTGCCTTCCCATTGCTCCACGCACTGAGGTGCTCGAAGGCGTGGCCCCTTGGGCAAGCTGGCCCACCAGAGACACAAGGGCATTGGACTGTGCCAACCTAGCATAGCGGGCTGCACGTCGCCTCCGCCAGTGATAAGTGCAAGCTGTGCCTCGTGGTCGATGGCAGGCGACGGAACCTTGGGGCCCGATCACCTGAGACAGAGCCTTCGGAACATGCTGTGCTGGAGGGAGGATGGAGGCCAGAGGAGCTGACAAAGCAGGGGCCGGGGACAAAGGCAGGGGCCCGAGACCTGGAGGAACCCCCGCGCCAGGGCCCTGACGTTCCAGGGAGTTGCTGCCTGCCGCGGGGGAAAGAGAAGCGATCTGTTTTGCCAAACCACGCACGAGGTCCTGCAGGGCGGCCTGCTCCTGAGCAAGAGTTGCAACTGTGTGCCGCTTGGTCCGAGTCTTCGGGGCGCGCTGTGCAAAAGTTGGTTCCTCCACCGCCGTCTGATAACCTGACCTGGCCTCTTGCAGCACGTCGGTGGCCCACTCCCGGGCTAAACGGCAAACCTCCGAAGCGAGGGGGAACAAGCCCGGGTCCTCCTCCACGAAAGGGGCGCCACCAAAAGCCGACAAGTCGGGCAGCGAAAGGGCCGGGGCAGCATCGGCCGGCATGTCTATGATCATGCAGCTCACCACCTCGCCTGCACCTGTAGCCAGCCACTCGCCCGTGGCTGCTAGCCTCACGGCCGAGGCTTCGATCTCGAGGGAGGCGCCAAGCCTTCGTTCGCTAGGCCTTCGGTCACAGCAGCTGCCGGAAGAAAGCCCACAGGCAAGCACAGGATGAAACCACCGCTTCTTTTCATCACCACGTAAGCTATGCAGGAAAGCGGGTCCTCGACGCCCCCGGGGGGCCATGGCCAGGTAAACTCCAAAAGTGTCAGGGACCCGGACTCGGCAGCAGGGAGGGCGTCTAAGTCCATCACGCCGACGGGAAATCCACACCTGCACCTGCAAAGTACAGCCTTGCCTCTGCCTCGGAAGGGAAGGCGTGAGACACCGACCCACCCCTTCTGAGCTCCCCCACCACACTCTTGTAGCTGGCAAAAGACCGCACAACAACCGGGCTGGCGAGGCCCCTGGCAGCAATGATGCAGTAAACTCGGTTCGAAATTCCCAGGGGCTCAGAGGGCTTTGTCACCTCAGACCAGCCTTCAAGTATTGCCCTGGCCGAGCAGCCAGCCTTCCAGGCCCTGAGAGCCCTAGCTTCTCCCGAAAGGGAACCACCACGAAGAGCCCTGCAGATGTCCCGAAGTTCGGTAGGGAGAGCGGGAAAAGCTCCTTCGAGCTCCTCCAGAGACCACGAGTGGCCTTGCAAGGGGTACTCTGGCACGCGGTAAGGCGAGGAAAGGGCAGTCCTAAGAAAAGTCGAGGCGGCCACCCGTCTGGCTTGCACAGGCTGAGGGGAACCGTCAACCGAAGATTCACCAATGTGTCCAGCAGGGACACCAGGGGCCTTTGGGCCCTGCAAGGGGTGCTGCTTGGGATCCGGAGCAAACAGAGATCGGACCACAGGTCTGCTTGCAGAGGGCAAGTCCAAAGCGAAGCCCGACGAGGAAGTCCCGGAGGAGGGCCCTGCGGCCTGCAAGGGGTAAGGGGAGGCGACAGGCAAAGGCGAGGAGTAGTGAGGAGCTGGCTCGGGACGGTCACCCACAAGCTCAAAGGAGGAAGTCGAGCTTTGCAAGGAGCGAGGGGGAATGGGATCGGCAGCGGCAGGGGGTTCGGGACCTACCCTAACAACCGAAATCCTATAACCGCTTACCTCTATGCGAAGCTCACTGCCCATACGCGTAGCCCGCCAACCTCCGACGAGCTCCTCCTGAAACTGTGCGAGTGGCTCTTGCTGGCACTTCCGGCGAGGCTTGCCTGGCCCCCGAGCAGAATCCTATCCAGGAATAATACCCAAAAACAGCGCAAAGAATGCCAAGCAGAAATGCAGCTAATAAGCTTCCCAGCCCAGGTCCTCGACAATGGCTAGGGCAACCTAGCCCCCACCAATTTGTTCCGATCCCTGCTGCAGCAAACCAAGCAGGGACTTAAGCAGGTCAAGGGCCATGAACCCTCTAAAGACCTGCTTCGAAACTTGAGCAACACGTCATCGCATACGGCACTCAGCTCTATAGTCAAGGAATATACCTTAAATCATAGGGACCTTAATATTATGATTTAGGTATATTCCTTAATTGAGGGGTAGTTGAGGGTTTAGGGCCTGGGGCCTAGCGCTTAGAGTGTAGGGTTTAGGATGTTAGTTTGCGTCTGTTCTTCAAACTCTGTGACGACCCCAGAAACTCCTTGTTAGTGCTATCCTGCTGGAAACTGACATGGGATCCCATCATAGCCCCTCGCTGAGGTGAGAATCTTGTATAAGGGTCCCTCTTTGGAGTTCCTCTTGCAGGATCATGGGACCTCATAAGTAAGGCAGTAAGGTCCTAAGTACCTTTTAGGGTTTAGGGTTTAGGGTTTAACTCGGGAAGTATATGATTATGAACGAACATGCTTATCGTATTGGTATTGGTGACGCTGAAAGTAGTGGCTAAGCCCCATGATTCTTCGAGCATGTTAGTTTGAAGGTGGGCAAAACCTAGCTGAACCCTACAGCATCTGCCTTTCAAACATTCTCGCGCACTGGCTTCTAAGCCCCTAGACCCCACACCCCAACCCCTAAACTTACACCCCCCCTAAACCTCAAGCCCCAAACCCCTGGAAACCCAAAACCTAAACCCCCAATGGGCATGCTTTTGGTCTCTGACCGATCGCGAGGGAAGCCGAGGCAGCGGCAGGTGCGCTGGCACGAGCTGCGGCGGCTCATCCAGCTGTGGAGATCTGCATCCTTCCGACGGTTAGGGTTTAGGGTTTAGGGTTTAGGGTTTGGGGCTGTGGTCGTCGGGTTTAGGGCTTGGGGGGTTTAGGGTTTAGGGCTCACGGGCTTGCGGGGTTTAGGGTCTAGGGGTTTAAGATTAGGGTTTATGGGTTTACTTGCACAGATGATTTACTAAAGTCGTCACAGAGCTTATATTCAATGGCTCTGAAGGGTTGCATCGGGATCACATTAGTTGAAAGCTCCTGACTTCCTCGGTATGAAACCAGGATCTGTATTTGGCACTTTGCATTTCAAGCTTGGAGCTCATGGAGTTTATGACAACTCCAGAAAGTTACCCTAAACCCTAAACCCCAAACCCCTAAACCCCTAAACCCCTGAACCCCCTAAACCCCCTAAACCCCCTAAACCCCTAAACCCCCTAAACCCCCTAATAAACCCCCTAAACCCCCTAAAAGCCCTAAACCCTTTAACCCTTCAGGCTTAAGGCTTTCCTCATGGCTCCTAGGAGCTGGGGCCTGGCATCTGAAAGGCCTGCGTGTTACAAGCTCCTTATCATGAACCCCGTAAGGGTTTTAGGGCTTTAGGGCTTAGGGTTCAGGGTTTAGGGTTTAGGGCTTTAGGGTTTAGGGTTCAGGGTTTGGGGCTTTAGGGTTTGGGGCTTTAGGGTTTAGGGTTTAGGGTTTAGGCCTCAAAAAACCAGACCGGCCCTTTGGGTTTCAGGTGGGCCTCTGAGCCCCCAAAACCCCCCCAAAAACCGGCGGGGAACCTTGAGCACCTCTGAACCCCTACCTAAACCCCCCTTGTACCGCAAACCCAAAACCCCGAACCCTGTGCTAGACCCGAGACCCTAAACCCCAAAACCCTAGACCCCCTAAAACCCTAAACCCTAAAACCCTGGACCTCTAAACCCTAAGCCCTAAACCCTAAAACCCTAAACCCCGCCACCCCCTTCAAAAAACAAGGACCTCAAAATAAACTCCCAAATCTGTGCCTCTAAACCCCGCCACCCCGTTCAAAAAACACCAACGAAGCCGCACACAAAGCTCGGGTCTCCTCCAGCTGGACCTGGCGCCATCCTTTCTTCAAAAACTGCTTCCCACACACTTGGGGTTTAGGGTTT